TAAACAGAGTTAAAAATTATTTTACTTGTAACTCAGTCAATATTGAAGCTACAGAGGTCTATTATAGCTTGTTTTGAGAGGCATCTGTATTACCTAGACTATTTTGTTAACAAAACTAATAAACAGCATTATATAAATCTCACTTATAAATTGGATGATCCGGATAATCATATTTTAACAATAGATAGATAGACCCTGAGTCCATTCACTTCTAGACAATATACTTCTCTATGTTAGCTAACATTTTGTTCATTAATTTTCAAAACCTTGAGACTATTTCATCTATCATTGAAGTAAGGAGTGATTGTGTTTGTCAACAAATAAATTAATTTTAACAATAGCTCTATCTGTCTTTGAACAAGTAATGTTGAGTCTCCATTAACACTATATCCATTGAGAGTAAGTATTGCATCTCTTTGTTAGATCTGATGTAATTTGCAAAACATGTGAACTAGATTTAGTAACTCATAAGTAGCTCTTCTAATTATACACTCTTTTATTTCACTTGTCTAACTTTATAACTAAAGTCAATCTTTAGTGTATATCTATTCAACCATATTTTAAATTCTTCCTAGTTACAAAAGAAAAGTTCTAAAACCAATTTTAGGGAATCAGATAAATCATCATTTATTCATATAATTCATTATCAAATTAAGTCATTATTTCATAAAGATATTAAAAGAGTATGTTAGATATTTAGTTTGGCATATATATATCAAATTGGAACTAGAGCTTTAAACTGGGTTTATTTTTTATATGTTAAAGCTAATTAATACTGGATTTAGTATATGAAAATAAACCTAGTTTCAAGCTTTAATAGGAAATGAATAGAATAGTGATGAGAAAGAAAATATGATTACTTGTGATAAAATTAATGCAGAAGCAACAGTTACTTGTGATGAAGTTGAAATATGAGTGTTTTGATTATTGTAAATAAAGTATTCATTATCGATATTTAATGTTGAGATTATTTCATAAAGCTATTAAAATTATTGATTAGGCAATGATAATTTTGAATAGGGTGTGAATAGAAAGCTCAATACAATTGTAATCACCGAAGCTTGAGGTGAAGTCAAAGCAAAAGTATATTGTTTATCATGAAAATAATGGTTAAATTTATTCATATTGATATTTTATCAAACAAATGCAATATGAAAGAGATTAATATTGTGATATTAGTAAGTATTTATTTTAGATCAGGATTACATCATAATTATTAAATTTTATTTTTTTCTTTGTACTTTATTATATAAATCTATGTTTGCACACTATGTTTAATTTGCTTTGTAGATCTGTGTCTATACACTATGTGTAAACTAATAAATTTTCAAAAAAAAAATTACAAAATATTTAAATATTATTTAAAAGCTTTATAGAGATTGAAAACATAAATATATAATATTATTTGTTATTTATTGCTATCAATATAATATTAATATCTATACTATATTATAAAGATCTTAAGTATAGAATATTGTATAGTATTGTATAAATTTTTTATATATAAAAACTTAATAATATTATTAAAATATGTAATAATAGCATATAGTATATTTTTAATTCAAAATATTTAAAAATAAATTATATAATATAGTTATTTCTCAATATAGTCTCTTTCTATATAATTACAAACTTTATATAATTATATATATAATATTTAAATATTAATTATTTTGTTATTAAAAAGTCTTCTATATAATCACAAAATGCTTATAATTATTATCATATTTTTTTTTTTTTTTTTTTTAATATTAAAGGTGACCACTTAGGCCATTGGCATGAGCTTTATTTCGGATAGTTA